CCAAGTACCTTCATATCTGATAGGATTCAATAGCCAGAAATCAGATGGCTCAAAAGTTTGTAGTTTTTTGAAACCCCAAAACTAAATTTATTCTGACAAAATCAATAACACCAAAAGCTGCTGTAATGGCAATTAACCGCATTCTTTTGAATAGAATGGCCTGAAGGAGATAACAAAATCTCATTACAAAAACAGAAGTGAACTGGAAAAAAGATTTTAGATGAACATGAAACATGAATTCGATCCATGGAAACACTTATTAATTGCAGTCTTCTGTCAAAAGATCACAACGAAAAAAGATGCTGCATTGACAAAAGTTAACAACAGATTACATACTTATGTTTACAAAGATAATGCTGATCGGGAACTTACATACACTGGCATGATCCAATGTAGAAGTGACGAAACAAACGGACGAATCGTATGAAAACATATAACCGTTGCACTCAAAGCTGAAATACATAACATTAAGTGACAGAATGTATTAAGTTAAAATTGAATTAAACGAAAACAGAAACATTGTAGATTGAGTTAAACACGTAAATGGGTATATAGAGCACTGCATGGGTGTGAGAGTTGAATAATTAAAAATTAAATCGGCAGCAACGGAATAAAGTCTGAACAGAAAACTTGTTACATGAATAAATATTAATTTATTACTTTTGCACGTTACCAAATCAGGAGTACCTGACAAGTATTAAATTACATGTGAATTCAAGAGATGAAATGTATGTTAAATAAACTATCAGTACGCCAAAATAAATTTGCCTTTAATTTTAAAAATAAGAAACAAAAGTATTTATGAAAATATTTAAGTATGAAACCACACCGTAGATATTAATTATGGATTATGGATGTAACAAGCCTACATATTTACTGATGCACATCATTGATATATCATTAAAATTTTAAAGTCAGATTATTAAACAAGTCTCTCTCTCTCTCTCTCTCTCTCTCTCTCTCTCTCTCTCTCTCTCTCTCTCACGCACCAACCCATATACCGTCACGACTAAGCACGCATCACCAAAAAAATGATGGCACTGAATCGATGTTATATAAGCTCGTTCGTAGCAGACACACTTGTATTACGACATAGTCATTAAATCTCATATATATATATATATATATATATATATATATATATATATATATATATATATATATATATATATATATATATATATAAACACACAGTCGTTCATTGTTGATCCTAAAAAACTTCATTTGGGTCAACAGTGAATTCTGTTATTTATAAGTATTTCGATAAGTCAATATATATATATATATATATATATATATATATATATATATATATATATATATATATATATATATATATATATATATATATATACAGTCGTTCGTTGTTGATCCTAAAAAAAACTTCATTTGGGTCAACATTGGCAAGACGCTTTACATTGGCAAGTACATCTTGTGTTGCATATTTAGATAAATGGATGTTACTGGTACCTTTGCGCGTAGCAGATCTTCCGTAAATATCTACCATTATAAATCATTAATCTGTTTGAAACGACTATTGTGTGTCCTACTATGGCCCAGTCAAAAACAGATTCTCAGCAAAAAATAACTGTAATAGTCTCAGATTTCTTTGTCAATTCTGGTAATACCTCTTTACATTATGCTAATTTCAGTCTGATTATTTATCTTGAAAATGATAGTCTTTTGGTTAAGAAATAATCACCCCAACGTATGGGTTTCTCAACAACTTAACGTTGCTCTTCCCGAGAATGATGGTAAATGAATCACATAAATGCTCTCTTCATAATGTCTTGTTCATTTTAGTGATCAGATCAATAATATTCGTATCTGTATTTGTAATATAACCAGATATTCTATTGATCTATTCTCGAAATTTTTTCAGCTGATGTTGATATTTGAGAGACCAAGTTACAGACAAACAGGCATCAACTGCATTCCCGCCTTGTCCCGTCCCAGAATCGCTTCAATATGTACTCAGTGATTGTCCCAAATATAGTTTAGAAAGAAGCATATTCCAAACGATATGTACACACACACACACACACACACACACACACACACACACACACACACACACACAATAAGACAAAGAATGGAAAAAATAAGTAAAATAGGCCGATCACACGGATCTGTCTATTTTGGGTGAGGGGGACTCAGCCATAGGGGAGGTGATTGAAAGACAGGTCCCAGGTGTGCTGTCTAGCATCACATGAGTCTGCAGTTTTATCAATAAAGCACGTTAAGGTAATTTCATGTAGTCAACAATTTCGTCGTGCTTTATTGATAAAACTGCAGACTCCTGTGCTAGCATCTAATCCCAACTTCGGAGGCTGTAGACCCCACCACCCAACTAATATGGACTAACATGAGCACGGCTCAACAGAATTAAAAAAATCAATGTCAGAATCAGCCACAAAGCTAAAACAATACTAAATTGCAACATAACATTTTGGTAAAGAATACAGACCAATACCTCCGTCATATAACACGCCCATACCCAATAAGCAAATCCCTCTGATCTGATCTCCACGCAACTACTTCTCTGCAACTATTGCACTATTCCCAAACTAACTAAACACCACTAATCTATACTAACATAACGTGTAAACCCCTTCCATCTCTAATTGATAATTTCGACATGCGAGCTACAACAGGAATGATGCCATGTTCCTGTCGGGTGGGGGTGAGGTGGGGTAGGGAAACTTGTCGTTTACTCTGGTCTTACATGTGTCTAATTTTGTCATTATACAATTTCTCAAAATGATTCCTATAAAATCTTGAAAATACATTTCAACGTGTTATTGGTTATCAATATTTAGCTTTAAAACAACAGTAGCAGACTAGAAAGATTTTCTTCGCTATCAAAGACAAGGGTCTAAAAGGATAAACGCTGAATCAATTACATACTGGAATGAATCTGATAGCGGTGTTTGATTGGTTGAATACCAGGGATTCTGTCATGTCAAATTGTATGCCAGCGATAAATAAAAACAATAACTTAGACCACAAAGAATACATATCTAATATGATGCTGTCCTAAGCCCATGTCATCCCACACGCAAGGTGTCAATGACTGACATAAAATGACCCCATTATTAATTAAATGTATAAGGTAGTCAAATACCCAGCCCTTGAGACCCGGCCACACAAGGAGACAAATAATGGTTCAGGACACATAAACTAAACACTGTATATACTAATCCTGACATACAAGCAAAAGATAAACATAAGGGGATCCTGAATCTGATTCAGTCAGAAACAACCACACGAAGCGGTAAATAGTGTCTTACAGGAACGTTTCATATTTTGGCACCATTTTTTTAAGATAGAAGGCACAAACCTAATTATCATCTGCCTAGCATTTAATATTCACCCAGAAGCTAAATATGTAACGTGGTTTAGATTTACTTCGGGTTTGGCTTTGAAAATGGGTTGGCTTGTTTGGTGACTGCCCGTCACAGTTAGACTACCACTGGGGGTATTTAAATGGGTTGGCTTGTTTGGTGACTGCCCGTCACAGTTAGACTACCACTGGGGGTATTTGCGTACCCTGGGCTGCAAATGAACAATCGACTTGGGTTACGTATTTACGAATGTCTGCTACAGAGGTAAATATCTAAAAGTCGAGATGGTTGAGGTGTGATGAAAAGTATGCTAATTTGTTATAGTACTAGTGAATTTTATTCATGCATAAGGCACATACTGATTCTTTTAGACGCCTTGTCACAGGAAAATAAAAAGTAGCTCTTTCCCGTCAAAAATGAATGTAAAAAGAGGGGTTGGTGGCAGTGTTGATTCAGTATAAAAACCACCCGCTGTATAATGAATAAACCTGATTACCGAAGTCAAAATTTCACATGAATGCTTTCTACAAAAATCGTTTCTTTGTTTTATTTGTATAATCAGTGTAAAATTACTCACATATTTTTCTGCAGTAGGTCATCGTCGGATGAAAATTCACTAGATAAACTGTCCAGTGAGACAACAGTAAAAATATATGCTGGAAGAATTAATACCGCTGTGTGCGTGAGCGCGCGCGCTTGTGTGTGATTTGGATTTGTAACGTAGTGTAATAAAATTAAGAAGATGCGCATTTGGTTGTAGCGCCACGTTTAAGCAATTCTTAGGTTTGTGTGATTACTTGTTTGATTATTGGAATTCAGTGCAATGAGAAATATTCCTTAACCCGAAATAATTAGCCAATTATTAGGAGCAAACGTCATGGAGAGAAAGTGCTAGTGAGTTTCCAAGATGCAATGGTCAATGAGTAGCGAATTCAGACTCAATACGCATGACTGTCCCTGTCATGATGAAGAACTTTATAAAATCTAGTGGTGTACAGCGGTGTTGTGAATGCAGCGACAGTATTTATGGTAGGAAACCAGTAAATTACACAATGGAATAAATGAGAAGGGACTCGGCAGATACCGTTTTTGTCGCCATGGTCGCAAATGTGATGTAATTTTACTGGTGTGATGCGCTTTGAAACCATATATTGAATGGCCCAAGGTAGTGTAATTGAAATAATCCCCTCTCTTATGGATAGTTGTAGAGTTTCTACGGTGTGAACTACTGGCGGAACGGAAAGTTGATGTAGAGAAACTATGCGGATGTGCGGTTGATGGTTATTTGGCAAGTTGTAAATAATGTGGTCTTACATAGATTTCAGTAAAATCTATGTATAGAATGGACACGTCGGGCCTTCCAACCTACAACTGAAGTTGTATAGAAAAATCTTTCGAAATTTGGGGTAAACTTATGACTTCTAGCGGGATTCGCGCCAGGGTTTTGACATTTTTTTCAGTCATATCGCGACAGTGTCGGCAGTGGGACAGTTTATAGTGATGTCTGGCACTGGGATATCATGCCGCAGACATGTAGCATGATGTCCCCACCCAGTCACATTATCCTGATACCAAGCCGACCAGTCCTAACACTAATCTCTTAATGCTGAGCGCCTAGCGAGGCAGCTGTTAGTACCATTTTTATAAGTCTTTGTCATGACTCGGCCAGGGTTTGAACCCGCAAGCTTCCGCATCCGAGGCGGACGTTCTAAAACCTGATGTGAAATACAAAACACAGCATATATAAATTATACAGTCTAAACTATTTAAAGTATTTCTTTAAAAAAAAAAACAACAAAAAACATCAAGGTGTCACGTACTAAATAAAGTCTAAGAACCAAACACATTAACAAGGAACAATACTGTTGATAACCGCCCAGTCCAAAACAAGGAAATCAATTGCAGAAAACTTTTAAAAACTTTTTTTACTTTCCACTAAAAACAGAGAGAGAGAGAGAGAGAGAGAGAGAGAGAGAGAGAGAGAGAGAGAGAGAGAGAGAGAGAGAGAGAGAGAGAGAGAGAGAGAGAGAGACCTAAACAGTGATCAACACCAATAATTCCAATCACGGTAGAACAGATGAAAGAACCCACATGTCTTCGACACTAGCGATACCAACGCAAGAAGGTGCAAGGCAGAGGAGGAGAAGAAAATGATGACACAAAAAAATATGCCAAAGAGACGAGCACCAGTAAAATAGATGCCGCTAGGAGAAATTCCCATCCCCAAGCACAATCGCCGCCTTAAGTAACAGCGCCACACTCAGTGAGCAAAAATCACGGCGCTTCGATTACACAGACTGTGACAAGACCAACCGAGACGATGAAAACTTCAGCCAAGCAACAACTTCCGCCTACATCTAGACCAAAGAAACAGACGGCAATTTATATGCATTGCCAAACGGTAGCAATGGAACTGGGGGAGCTGATAGAGGACAGTGAATGAGCTTGTCATCACACTGAAGGCTTCCTGATATTGTCATCAGCTATTATGAGAATAAAGTGTGAGGAACAACTAGATCGGCTCAGATCAAGCAACTTCCAGAAATCAGCGGAAGGCGGGAGAAGTATAGTGTTTGCCAGATTACCATAACCACACTAATTACAAATTAACTGATTCTCGGAATATGTCGTACCAACCAGTCACAGCCAGGCTTCCTTTGAGTGATCTGGAAGTGGCTGACCTAGTAGATTCTGATAGCACCAATTTCGAACCTCCCCAACACACGAGACTATTCTTGCTCCCGTCAGCTGATATCAGACATCAGCCCCTTTTAAGGTCTTCCCAACAAAATTTCATCTCATGCCGAAGGATGTTCACTTTGGTTTTAAATCCATTTTCGACAAAAACTAAAATAATACACAACCAATAATCTATTCGTCCACTAGTCAAATAGAATACTCAGATGTTATCTAATTAAGATCACAAAAATTAATGTGTCACTTAGACCTGGTATTGTTTGTTATTTTCTAAAATGTGCGTGCATTATGTACACTGTATTCACGCAAGGTATGAGAATTCACAACTAATTAGAGTGGTCCTAAACGTTACGTGTAGGCTCGTACAAATGTAACATAAAGAGAGAAGTAAACAAGCTTTGTGAATTTTAACAAAAATAATTTATTTCTCTAGAAGCGAAGTAAAAAATAGAAAATAGGACATACGGTTTGGGAAAATAATCCAAAAAGTAATAATAAAATTTAAAAATATAAGTCCTATCACTAAACAGTTCTAACTGAATCCAAGTTCGAATCTCGATGAAGTTCCAATGTGGAAGGCGATGACGTCAGATGAAGTCTTTGTACTAATGGCAACAGTTCCTCGTTGAATTTTGTAAATCAAGAATAATATTCCGACTTTCGAATTCCAAATAATTTCCAATCAATTTCTTTGTCCAATATTTTGATGAAAAAGCAATTATTTTCCAAAGAATATAAATTATTCTTAAACACAAATAACTCAAAATATCGAAGCAACGGAAAATGCCTCTGAGCTCCTGAAGGTGTCTTTTTACGACTAAACTAATTTAATACCAATTGGCTGTTTTAAACCTGATATTAGATAACATGGTATTTCACGTGACAAACTAAGTGATTTCCAACTGGAACATCGCAATAAAAAAAAATGTCGTTTGTCACGTAGCTTAGAATAGCCCTATCTAAAACATCATACTCACGCTGGAATTTAAAAATATTTTTAAAAAACTTTATACGTGGGATAATACGTGGGCCGAAACAATAAAATGTAATGAAACAAATATAAAAAATGAATTTTAAATTAACACAGGCAATTTAATTACATATATGTAACACTAACTGCAATATGTGACTACCACCTAAACGATTTAGGGAATAGACCAAATAAGAAAACTGGGTGGAATTTGATTGTTAGGTCATCAATGCCGTTTCAGAGAGGTTCCGCCGACGTTCGAGAATTCCAGCTAAAGATTTCATCCTTTTACTCACCAACATAACTCAATTAAGCAGCATGCATTGTATATGTTAAAGCGTTAAATGGGCTGGTTAATTAGTGTGCCCAGCACACAACCCTTATCTCCGACGTACGTTCTTCATTGGCACTAGGGGTGTAAACTCGTTGAGTAGCACTTCATGTTTCTCAATCAGCGATCAATTAAGAAGTCGGTGTATGTCGACCTGAACCTGTCGTAAAAAAAATATTTATGAATGACAATGATGATGAGTCCTAACATTCGTCTTCAACCAAGAAGAATGACAACAGTTCAAGAACATTGCAAGGTACAAATGTTACAGGGAAGCAGTGGATTTGATGGTGGGGTATGAGCAGCTTCTAGAGCAAATAGGGGTCCAGTGGTAAACCCTTGGTCGTGTTCGCCTGGAAGTGACCGCATTTCTAAAAGCAAAGAATATTGCCAAAGAAGTAATAGCTAAGGAAGCAGGAAAGATTAGGGTCACATGAAAAGAGGAGAGAACAGAAAAGCAGAAGCGTCCGAAGCATGAAATTCTTGAAGTCATGGTTGACTTGTTTTTGATGTTCGTAATAGACGTGTTAATCTCTGAAGAGCGCATTATCTAACCTCGGCGTTAAACATGACGGTTCCTGTTTTATTTTGTCGTTGACCTGCTAGGGACTTGCCAGTTGGAAAGTGCTTCGTACAGTGTATTTTAAAATTAATTCACAACGATCTTGAGAATCATAATGGTCCAGTGTGGTTTCCATTATGCATAGTTTGAACTGTTTGCTTAGATGGAATCGTGTTCTTTGGGAAGTTTTGAAAGACAATTCATAGCACATGTCAATTAATTAGTAGTAGTAGTAGTAGTCTATTATTATAGTCATGTTTCCACTCTCGTGTATTATGACTGGTTAAAGCCCTGAAAAGGGCTAGCGGCCTCCCCTCCTTCCGAGGCAGGGCTCACCCGTGTCTCAGAGCTCGACACTTTTTGTGCCCCGGCGCATGGGCGTAATAACCCCCCTAGATGGTTTACCACCAAAGCCGGGCATCATCTTTTCGATAATGTTGCTAATCTAGGGAGGCACTTAGTCCACGGGCAGGGCTTTTGGTCTAGTGCTTGACCTTTTTTCTGCCAACCTTAAAACAGACCTTTATGATCGTCATAGATACAGTCACACTGCCTCGACCCCCGGGCTCAGAAAAGGCAAAGGAAAGGATCCAGCAAAGGGCGGTACCGTAGTTGATTCCTCTATTCTTGTGTGTTGGGATCCTCTTCCTTATGTCTGTCTTACCCTGGGTCCACATATTCTGGCTTTGAAAGTGTAACCTTTTCACATTATTTTAATGTGGCCCAGGGCGCTTCCTACTGCCTTTCCTCATCCTTGATCGTTGGTTCCCAGGTTACCTTGAGTTGACGGTGTCGGCAATGGATGCGGCTTCCGCCCACTAAGTTAAGTTCCTGTTTCTGCCCGTTGCCTATTGGGGGTGTGAGTCCCCTATCATAGCCAAACATGTGTAAGCCACATACGAGTCGAATGAATATGAGTTGCGAATTTTCCTACTAAATAGTAGTATTATGTTTTTGTGTACTATGCGTACCTGTAGTTCCAAAAGTTGAGTCAAATTTGGAAGGTATAAGCTACCTTGTGCATTTCAGTGATCTTAATTTGGTTTGACGGCGAATTATACATTTTTTTTCCCAATCATCCCTTCAAGGGCCAAAAGAGTAGTTGTTAACCGAAAAAGAGCTCTTGCCAAAGTGAGCTCTGTGTAAGGCATTTTGACTAACCCTACTTCACTACGCTGCTGTTAAAACAGCAGCAAAGTGATAGTAGCAATCTTCTTTCTTCTTTCTTCTTTCTGTTTTATTCTTTCTTCGGCTGGCCATTTTCTTTTACGATATATCGTGTGTAAAAGAATTTGTTTATTACTTGTGTCTACTTTTCTTCTGTTTTTCTTCCTGTCTGTTTCTTCTTTCTTCTTCTGTTCCTTTGTTCTTTTCTTCTTTCTTCTTCTGTTCCTTTGTTCTTTTCTTCTTTCTTCTTCTGTTTCCTTTGTTCTCCTGGAGCTCCTGGTAAACACGTCCGTCCTCTTCAAAGGCTGCTACCCTCTCCTCTCGTCAATTAATTAGCTGCATGAAGTAATGATATTGCATACCACAGTACAGGTGAATCATTTATGTGATGATGTTCCAAACTTTTGCTTTTGGGAGTAGGTCTATGTTCGTTCGCTGTAGCATTGGTCCATTAGTAGTGAGTTAGTTGTAAGATAAGATCGGTTAACCGAGACTGAATCTAAAAAATATATTGTGTGCAGGTGCGCTAAGGTTGATTGGGTATGTGCTATCCTGGTGGAAAGGTAAACTCCAGACCTGAGTTTTTCGGGTAAACAGGAATTCTCCAGAGTTACATGTGTTGTCCTGTTGTTAGAGACTTGCGTAGAGAAGTCTTTCCTGCAGCGATTTCCGAGGATTGTTAAAAGAGAGTTTTAACCCGAATAACTTGTCGGAACATTTTTCATGTTGCATTCAGCTTGGTTAATTTGTATTCATTGTTGACATTTAGTTTACTTATAAGCAATTAGTGATTCCAAATAAGAGTTTGTTTTTGGATATTGAGTGACGAGCTATTAGGGATAAGCCCGAGTTTTGTCTTAATCATGTGTGGGAATCATTAATCGTGTTGGTGGTTGATTTTGGGGGAAAGTAATCAATTTTGATTAGACCACAGAAAAGTGACATTTGTGTCACTCGAGGACGAATGATCTATACGAAGATGGGGGTAATGTAATAAACTTCGAGATG